TTTTTTACACGGCACCCCTGCTCTCGACAGACCCCGGTTGGGAAACACTGTTCTAAATAATTCCGCGAGTGGGGCTTGAGGAAGTGACGTCGCCTGCGTCTGCGCAGTGCGACCTGATGCAGCCCCTGAAGCGAGACACAGGAAACATAAATACTGCAAAATAATTATAATAACGAGACGAAATAACGTTATAACATTTCGTTTCGTCTCGTTTTGGTCAACGAAAATGAAGAGACATCTTAGCATAGTTTTTATTTTGTAAGCCACATTTCGTCTCGTTTTTATTCGTCAAAGATATTGCATTCTACATTTAATTATCGTCATCGTCACATGACCAGCATTTTCGTCTCGTCTCGTCTCGTTTTCGTCATGTGATAAAGGTTCGTTGACGACTATATTTAGTCATAATTTTCGTTGACGAAAGCAACACTATTTTACATGTCAAATAATGTAGCCTACTGTAAATTATTTTATAAAATATTGTTTTAAACCCCCTCAGATTTTTCCCTGTTTACATTAAAAAAGTGTCTAACCACAACTTCAATATGTATTCGTAAAGTTTTTATTTTTTTATTGATTGTGGTGGTGGTGGATTGAGTTTATTTTAGACATTGAAAATTTCAGTGAAGGTTAACTGTGGCCTCTCTATTGCCATCTGTGGTTAAAACATAAAATTACAAGTTACTTACAACTCGTTGGCCTCACAAGGTCTGAAAAAAATGTACACTTTTTAAACATGGTTGTTGTCAGACTCTGTTCGTGTCTTGTGTTTTGTTCCCCACGTACTCCATGTCCTGGTTCTCCCCCCGTGTTCCTCCTATGCCCTTATTTGGTCCTCCCCGTTCCTGTCCTTATTATATTTATTGATCCCAGGTGTTTATCATCTTCCCCTCGTCAAGTCCTGTGTATTTAAAGTTTTTCCCATTCCTAGTTTGTTTGTGCTGTCTTGAATGTACGTCGATCCCCGTGTCCTACGTGGGATTCCTTTGGAGTAAATAAAGACTGTTAATTCTCGATTCTCCTGCGTTCTCCTCGTTCCTCGCTCCTTGTTCCTCGCTCCTCAAAGTAGGCACACCGTGACAGAAGACCGCACCTAACAAAAAGTAAGCTGCGTTCTCCCCACTTTTATTTTCGTTTTTTTGAAAGGGGTTTTGTTTTCTGTGTTTTCCTCCCGTGATTATGGAGATCGCTGAATGCTTCATCGTGCTAGCCCGTAGAGATCATCCCTTCGTTGAGTATGCCAGGGAGTTCTGCGGGCTCGCCGCGGCGACGGCATTAGATGACGCCACCATCAACTCTTTGTTCTGGCACGGGGCCAATTACCATCGCCCCGTGGACCTCCCAGACACCACGGGACTAAGCTGGAGGGAAGGGATCCTCCGGTGTCTGTAACGCATACGGCCCTGAGCCAGAACCAGCCCGCTGGCTGCTCAGCAGACAAGTCCGCCAGCCACGCCGATTCCAAGCCCACCAGCCGTGGCTCTCTCCAGCCCGTCGGCCACGGAAATGTCAAGCCCACCGGCCGCGCTGATCTCAAACCCGCCGACCACACCTTTTACCCCTAACCAAATGAGGAATTTGAGGAGGAAAAGGCTGTTGGTTCAAGCCCTTAAGTCCGCTCCAGTGTCGGATCCAGCCCCAGAGCTCGCTCCAGTGTCGTTTCCAGTCCCCCCGAGTCTAGCCCAGAGAGGGCTCATATCCCTGAGTCTAGCCCAGGGAGGGCTCCAGTCACCTAGTTTAGCCCAGAGAGGGCTCCAGTCCCCGATTTTAGCCCAGAGAGGATTCCAGTCCCTGAGTCTAGCACAGAAAGGGCTCCGGTCCCCATGTCCAGCCCAAGGAGGGCTCCAGTTCCCACGTCCAGCCCAAGGAGGGTTCCAGCCCCCACGTCCAGCCCAGGGAGGGCTCCAGTTCCCATGTCCAGCCCAAGGAGGGCTCCAGTCCCCAAGTCAAGCCCAGGGAGGGTCACAGGTCCCAAGTTAAGCCTACGGAGGGCCTCTGAAACCGACATTCCCACCAAGGATTTTTTTGGAGGGGTGGGTAGTA